CAGGACAAAGCACAGGGAAGCAGAGGACAGGGCGAGCAGCAGCCCTCCTTCCCTCCAAAACTTCCCCGGAGGACGGTCTTTAAGAACATAGGACAAGAAACAATCCAGTGTCCCTGAGGGGTCTGGTCACATTCCTCAGGGGACAGCCCGACAACCAGACAGGATTCCATCATTTAACCCAACAAGGCAGCACCTGCCCTCCGGTGTTGGACTGAGTCAGACCATCTCAAAGAGAAATTGCAAACTAAAAAAAGCAACACAGGGACCACAACCTCTGATACCATTTGTTTAAAAACAGGAAGGGAGCTACTGGCTGAAATGTCCATAAACTATCTCAAAAATCAGGCTGTCTGGCCCTAATCGCTTTGGCTCAGTGGATAGAGCATCGGCCTGTGGACTCAAGGGTCCCAGGTTCGATTCCGGTCAAGGGCATGTACATTGGTTGTGGGCACATCCCCAGTGGGGAGTGTGCAGGAGGCAGCTGATCGATGTTTCTAACTCTCTATCCCTCTCCCTTCCTCTCTGTAAAAAATCAATAAAATATATTTTTAAAAAATCCGGCTGTCTGTACCATAGCCACTAGCCACACATGGCCATTTAAACTAAAATTAATTAAAGTTAAGTAAAAATTCAGTTTGCCAGTTTCAAGGGCTTGATAACCATGAGAAGCTAGTGGGGCTGCCAACTGGACGACTGGATGGTGTGCAGTTCTATCATCTCACAAAGTCCTATCAGCCAGTGCAGCTCTGGAAGACTTCAGCTACCTGGTAACAGCCCCTGGGGAGGGGAGCAGGAGGATGGAAGGGGGGGGGGGTATTGTTCACATGTAATCTTTGGTAGTACTTGATATTTTTTTTATAACATCATATATTATTTCCTACTGAAAGTTAAACATTTTAAAACTTCAAACATTTTTAAGCATTTAAATACACAGGGAACATAAGAAGGTGTTAGAATACCTAAGGGACAAGGCTCAGTTGCACTGTCTAAAGCAGTGGTTCTCAACCTTGGCTGCACATTAGAATCACCTGGGAATCCTTTTAAAATCCTGATTTCTGGGCCTCATCCTCCGGAAATTCTGTTTCTTTGTTACTAATGTTGTGGCCCCACCCCATAACAAAGAAACAGAATTTCCGGAGGATGAGGCCCAGAAATCAGGATTTTAAAAAGATTCTCAGGTGATTCTAATGTGCAGCCGAGGTTGAGAACCACTGCTTTAGACAGTGGTTCTCAACCTCTGGCCCTTTAAATACAGTTCCTCATGTTGTGATCCAGCCATAAAATTATTTTCGTTGCTACTTCATAACTGTAATGTTGCTACTGTTATGAATCGTAATGTAAATATCTGATATGCAGGATGGTCTTAGGCGACCCCTGTGAAAGGGTCGTTCAACCGCCAAAGGGGTCGCGACCCACAGGTTGAGAACCGCCGGTCTAAAGCCTGGGCGTGTCTGTGGAAGGCAGAGAAGAGTTTAGGGGTAGCTGTGAGAACAGGCAGCCTCGGGGCCTCCCGGGGAGCAGCCGCACACCGGATCCACACTCGCACCTCATTCATGCTCACACCTGATCCGCACTCGGTGGTGCAGGAAGCTCCTCCGTCCCTCCCATTTCAATCCTCTCAGAAACCTTGTAAGGTCCTCAGGACGATTATTATTCCCATTTGTTTTAATTTCCTAAGGCTGCTGCAACAAATTACCACAAACTGGGTGGTTTAAGATTATGGAAACTTCTCATCTTCAGTGCTGAAGGCCAGAAACCCAAAATCAGTGCGTTGGCAGGATGGATTCCTTCTGGAGGCTCTGAGGGAAGACTCCCTCCCACACCCCTCCAGCCTCTAGTGGCTGCGATCACCTTCCATGGTCCTGGCTTGTCTGATCTTGCCTCCACCCTCCCATGGCCTTCCCCTCTGTGTCTCTGCGTCCCAAATCTCTCCCTCCCGTATCTTACAAGGACAATCATCACTGGATTTAAGGCCACCCTAAATCCTGGATGATCTCATCTTGATATCCTTGACTTAATTATATCTGCAAAGACCCAATTTCCAAATAAGGCAGAGGTGGGGAGCGTCTGGCCCGCGGGCCGTATAAGGTCCTCAAAAATCATTTGGTCTGGCCCTGCCAAGGCTTTAGGGGTGAGTTAATTAAATGTTTGACCAAATATAGCAGGCTAATTTTTAACTTGATAATTTTGTATGGCCTGCAAATGATGTTATACATATCTAAATGGCCCTTGGCAGAAAAAAGATTCCCACCCTGAAATAAGGTCACATTTATAAGTATGGGGGTTAGGACTGGGACGTATCTTTTAGGGCAGTGATGGCGAGCCTATGACACGTGTGTCAGAGGTGACACGCGAACTCATTTTTTTGGTTGATTTTTCTTTGTTAAATGGCATTTAAATATATAAAATAAATATCAAAAATATAAGTCTTTGTTTTACTATGGTTGCAAAGATCAAAAAATTTCTTTATGTGACCCGGCAGCAGAGTTAAGTTAGGGTTTTTCAAAATGCTGACACGCCGAGCTCAAAAGGTTTGCCATCACTGTTTTAGGGGAACACAATTCAGCCCACTACACCATTTTATAGATGAGGGGTGAAAGGCTTGAGGGCCTCTCACTTGTCCAAGGTCACAGGCCTACTTCAGGGCCCAGCCCTGCCAGTCCCCCTCCACTGACTCAGGCAGGAGCAACAGCCTGGCCCTCCTCTCAGCCTCATGGCTCCCCCAGAGTGTCGCTTCACAATGGGCAGCACACACAGAAGAGCCGCCCCCTTCTCTGGCCTCGATTATCAGTCTGCTGCATCCTAGGATCTGACAAAAGATTACACTGTCCTCCAGGCGTGGGAAGGAGCCAGGCCAGGGGGATCTGTGGGGTATCTAAAATCAGATGGGACCCAAGCTATGGAGGGTGGTCTGTGTGTCTGGACTCCAGAAGTCTGCAGGGCAGATCAGAGCCAGAGAGAAAGGGAATGAGTTAAGGCTTCTGGTGTTGGAGAAAAGGCCTCTGTTGGAGAACGTGCCAGCCTCCGGGGTTTTGCATCAATGTAGGGCTCTGGTCCAAAGGGCTCAAGTGAGTCCTCCAGCTCAGAGTGACAGGAGGGAAAGTATAGCAGGCATGGGCATGAGTGTGCATGGGGGCCTGGCCACACTGACCACAGCTGTCAGATGGCTTGATGGCAGCCACGAGCCCTCGACAACATCAGCACAGGGCTGCCAGCAGGGCCCTTCTCAGAGAGCAGGGAAGGTCACTGTCCTCTTGTCAGTGGGAACTGGAGGCTTTGACCAGCCTTTCAGCCTCCATCGTTCTCCCTGAAACCCTCTTGGGTCCCCCAAGGAAAGACAGGACACAGGACTGCCTCTGGGTCATGGGCTTTGACCTGTATTTTCTCTATGACTTCAAAAAGCTTATAGAGGCCACTCTAATATTGTCATCATTTTTTGGTGAAGACCCTATAGTTAATAAGTGGAAGACCAAGGTTTGGACCTGGCTTGGATTTATTCGGGAGCTCCGTGCCCCATCCCTGCCTCCTCCTCCCAGTCCATCTGTCATATGTATTTGGGACTTTCAAGCTTCCTGTCAGCAACCCACAGCATGAAACCCAGTTCACTTCACCATCCAGGTCATGCCTACAAATAGAAATAGCTGAAACAGAAACTTCACTCCAATAGTTTTTATTCAAGTCTATGCTAGTTCAAAATTTCAAAACACTGCTGTAACCCACGGAACTGATTTCATATCTTATGAATGCATTGTGCCTCCCAGTTTAAAAAAACATCCACAACACTCAGGAAAAGCAGGGGAATCATTCCTCTTTTATATATTTTGCAGATCATCCAAAAATTATTTGTGGGTCTGGATTTTTTGCCCCATTGAAAACACAGCTTCTGACTTACTGAACAAATAGTGATGTCATTACCTGTCATATCCTTTCCCTCCTATCAAAACCTTGGGGAGGTCCTACTACTAAAAGCTAGCTCAAGATGGACCATCAGGTCCTCTCCTGCTGGGCCCCCAGAGACTGAGTTTTCACACCAGGAGGCCCACCCTTGCAGACATCCTGGGCATCTCCCAACCCTGAGATGTTATCAGTGAGCTTCGTTTCTGGACCAGTGAAGGAGGTTGAGAAATACCATGCAACTTGGCTAATGGAAGGTGTGACAATAAGGTTAAGGGCCACTGGCTCAGCTGCTATGATCTATGTTCTGTCACCTTGTCCAACATGGAGAGAAGCCTGGGAAATATGACTTTCCGCTCATTCACTGCTTTACACACCATCCTGCGAGAGGTTAATGCTAACCCTAAAAATGCCAGGGCTGCAACTACACACCTAAATTCTCAATCATCGTCTGTGCAAAGCTCCCATGAGGACAACCAGGAAGACCTGATATGAATCAGGATTTGAGCCACATGAGTTAGGAATCAACAAATCCCAGTTCTATTCCCAGCCACACTAGTCTACACCACCAAAACCCAAGAGAGATATGATTATTTGAATAATTCAGACCATGTTTCCTGTTTCCTTCATCTACCTCCACCAAAAGAAATGAAAACCAAAAAAAAAAACCCCACACAAAACTATTTGGCCAGATTATTTATCACAACCCTCCCCCCAGACCTCCCAAGGTTTGAAATAGAGATAAGGTCACAACGATAATACCCTGTGGCTGGTTCGTGCCTGTTTTTCCATCTTCAGAATGGAATGGCTGGTGCTGTCCCAGCATCTAAGCCTTTATTATAAGTCATCTCTAATGGTTCTCAGCTCCCCCGCCAACACCACCATCGCCATCAAACCGAAACAGTGAATCATGCTGTGATCTTTGACTAACGACATGCCTGCCAGGGAAGAGGTAGGAAGAAAGGCCCATGATGGGCCACAAGGTACAACATACAGCCTGAGACCCAAGGCAATCATCTTGACCATGTCCTCGGCAATTTTGAGCAGACAGAGAGAAGCCAGGCCTACAGAAGTCAGGAGCCAGCAAGGATCAAATGTCCACTTACCCGGAGGGCAGACGCATTCCGATGGCGCTTCCCGAACAGTCCGGAGCTTGACTAGTCCCTCCAACTTCTGAAACAAGAAGGGAGGAGAATGAGGATGAGCTTGAGAATAGAGTAGAAAAATCAGCAAAAACCAATGTATCAAAAAAACAGAACAAAAACTAGATCGACAGTGATGGGGGTATTTTTGAGAACATTTTTAATAGGTCATTAAATTCTACAGACAGTTTTGGAATGAGAGAAGAAACAAAAATAAACATCGAGCAATTACTCGGGAGTCCCTGAAAAGAAGGCGGCACAATTCTGCTTTGTTACAACATTTTCAAACACAAATCAAGGAAAGCCAAAACGACCATGCAGTCCGGGTGAAAGTTGGAGGCTGGGCAGCAGCTTTCAGTACTTGGATCACACCATCCGCCCTGGAAGCCCCCAGGCCCCCAGCTCAGCCCCTCCCAGCCCACCGAGCTCAGACCCGCTGCCCAGCCCAATCCACCAGGATGGCACTTTTTCTTTCTTCTTACCTGTGGGGATGCTTGCCCTAGAAAATTTGGTTCTGTACAATTCAATAAAGATCTCTGCGGATGCCCAGCCCTGTGCTCAATTTAGGCGAAGGGAAAAGAATTACCACAGAAATCAAGTCAGAAGTCACAGCTTTACTATTATGATAGCTCACAGTACAGCTTGGCACCATCACTGCCCGATTTGACCCTAGGAGTAACCTCTGTGGCCCGAATTATTGTCACTGAGGGGACACAAGGCACACACAAAAACACAAAACAAACAACAGAATAACAACAACAAAAAAAAACAAGATGAGAAATTAGTCCCAAATCCCAAGTCTAGATTTAGGAAAGTGAAGCAATTGGCCCATAACCCCCAAACTAGCCTAGGCTTGAGTCCTGACAAGAATATGCAAAGTATTAACTTTTCTCTAGGAAAAACAAAACAAAACAAAAACCAATAAGCCCCTCTAAAAGCGAAACAAAGAAAATCCCAAATGTGTTAACCTTAGTGGAAAAATGCACTATGACGGGCAGGAGTACTTGAGTTTCAAACATGAAAATGTAATTTTTAAAGCACTGCTTGTCAGATGTGAAAAGGGCACCCTGGTCTTGAGCCCTTGAGGCCAAGCCTGAAATTTTCACAGAAGACGGGACTCCAGCCAAGTCCTGTATTGTCTCTGGCTGGAGCAGCCCAGCACCAAGGCCCGGAGACAAAAAAAACCAAAAACACAAAACATAACCAGGTTAGCTCCAGCTGCCTGCAACGCCTCTATCCCTGCCTCCAGTCACCCTCATTTTCCAGATGGGCAACAGACAACAGATAGAATTAAGGCCAAGTTTTGGGGGAGCATGCGGATGTGTGATCATGACGCCTTGGTGCAGGGGTGTGAAAGCAGTGCTGCCTTTAATGCATCCAACCTCTCCATCCTCACTGCACCTCTGGCCCACAAAGCCTCCAAAATCTTAACATGGCCAGGTCTGGACACCAGGCTCTCAGCCCCAATTCGGTTCCCCACCTGCCATGAACTCCTGCTCTATGCTGGAGCGTCCTGCGAGCAGCCCCCATCCCCCAGAATGCCTCCCACTCCAACCCACCAAAGCTTCTCCAGGGCTCCCACTCAGCAGCAGCAAACACCACCCAGCCCTGGCCTGGTGCGCGGGTCCCTGGAGCACCGCAGCCACATGGGGCCTCAGAAGCTGCCTGGGCATGTGGACAAGGGTGGCACCTCAGAATTCACCTTCTCCCCACTGTATCTGCAGATGCTATTATCGATTTCAAAATTTACCTGGAAAAAGAATCCAGCCTTCTAGTTTAAGCCAATTTGTTAGTGGAGCTCTCATCTGTTTTATCGTTGCTGGTTAGACTAGAAGTCACACTAATCCCCTCCCCCCTTTCTTAAACAAAAGTATTTAATGCTAAAACAAAACAAAACATGTAGCTTTTAACAATTGCTATCTGATCTGGGCCTCTGTCCTAAAGGAGGTAGGGGCGGTGGGGCGGGTTCTATCAAATACTGATAGGAAACACAATTACTTTTAAGCTACTCTTATGTTAAAATAAAAAGCTGACCAGGAAACTATTGATGAAAGGGTAAAAAAACATGCCTTTCTGTTAATGCCACCAGAGGGATCATAAATTACTGGGACTGAATTTTTGTCCTGTCATGTATTCTAACTCCTTTTATGCATTCATCTTTCTGGATCAGATGTGGTGAATTGGCAAAGTTTTCTCTCCTAATCCTCTACCCTCCCCGCCTTCCAGGCCCCTAACTTTCTGTGCATTTGTAACGGTCCCTACTAAGAACACAGAGGGAAATGTTTGAATTAGAAACCCAATCCCACAATCTTTATTTCCATGTGCTTTTTTTTTTTTTAATTTTAAGAAAATATTCTTTTGTGTCTAGGTTTGTAAGAAATGACTTTAAAGCTTCTACTTTTTATATTCAGTTATCTGGTAGTACCCCTTGCATCCGCAAACAATATGGTCCTGGTTTTACATATGCAAACAAGTCCTGACTCCAAAAGTAAACAAAGGATGAGTTTCTGAGAAAAGACTGAAGACTTGGGGAGCATTCCCTCCAGAGCGTGGGGGAGAAGGAAGAGGAGGGAGACTTGAAGTTTTGAGGGAAGAATGGCAAGAGCAGAGGGAAAATTAATCAGGGAAAATCATGATTTTTAAAATAGCATTACATGGTCAGATGATAAATTTATTAATGAGCTGTTGGAGTGCTAGTCTGGAACATTTCACCAGATTTTCTATCACATCGTCAAATGGTTACATTTTGATGAAATATGAATTAACATACAAAAAAAGATGTAATGATTTATTTCTGTAAAATGCTCCAAATAAAGCCACAAAGACATTCCGATCCTTTGACAGAAAATTACTGCTTTAGGGAATATACCCCTAAGGAAATAAGTCAACAGAAGCAAAAAAAAAAAAAAGATATTCATGAGGAAGTTATGTCCCAAAACAGTGGGAGGGACTGTGTGTCCCCTGATGAAACTGTCATATCTTCATGAAATAGCGTTATGAAGACTATGTAGCAACAATGTAGGAACAATGTTTATGGTACAATAAATAAAATGTCTACATCAGTGTAAAAATTCAGGCTTGCGGTGGCAGCAACTAGCAAATACCACTCACTTTGGTGTTGGAATTATGGTAATTTACTTCTTTAGAAGTTCTTTCTGTAGCTGTAATACCATCTTCTCAGTAAAAATAATAAAATAAAATAAAATAAAATAAATAAAATCTTGGAAGTAGAAGAAGAGCCTAAGTGAAGCCCTGAAATCTCCCTAATGAGGACAAGTTTTTTTTTTTTATTGCTTAAAGTATTACAAAGGCTATTACATATGTGTCCATTTTATCCCCCCGCCCTAGACAGTCCCCTAGCCTCCCCTATCCCCCAATGTCTTATGTCCACTGGTTATGCTTCTATGCATGCATACAAGGAGGACAAGTTTTGAATGATGGACAGATGACTCTGATTCCTCAGGAGATCCAATTCCAGTATCAACGCTGCTAATGTGCAACACAGACCATAAAACAATGGCTGTAACTGCACTGCACATGTTCAGAAAGTTAAGTAGGGGCATCAAAAATATTAAATGACCTCAACTGAAATTCTAGAGATGAAAACTATTATGGCTGAGATGCAAAAAACAACAACAAGGTATAGGGGATTAATGGGAGATTAGACATTGCAGAAGAAAAGATTAGTGAACTGGAAGTTAGCAACAGAAACTATCTAAAATGAACACACAGGGAAATAATTTTTTTCAAAAAGAAAGAATAAGCCCTAGCTTGGCTCAGTGGATAGAGCGTCAGCCTGTGGACTGAAAGGTCCTGGGTTCAGTTCCAGTCAAGGACATATGCCAGGGTTGTGGGCTCAATCCCCAGTGTGGGGCATGTAGGAGGCAGCCAATCAATGATTCTCTTTCATCATTGATGTTTCTATCTCTCCCTCTCCCTTCCTCTCTGAAATTAATTTAAAAAAATAATTTTTTTAAAGAAAGAATAACATCAGTGAACTTGGGATTTCAAGTGTCCTAATATACAGGTGATTACAGTCCCCAAAGAACAGAAAAATAATATTTAAAGTAGTAATGACCAAAATAATTTTCAAAACTTGAAAACTATAAACTCACAGATCCAAGAATCTCAATGAAACTCAAGCACAAAAACATGAAGAAAACTACCCCAAGGCATATCATAAATTAAACTGCCTAAAACCAGTGATAAAAGCAGGCAGAGAAAAAAGACATATGGGCAAATGAACTCTCATACATTGCTGGTGGGAATGTAAAATGATACAATGGCTTTGAACAACAGTTTTGCAGTTTCTTATAAAGTTAGTCATATGCCTATCAGATGACCAATCATTCCATTCCAAGGTATTTATACCCAAGAGAAATTAAAGCATATTCCATATGAAGACTTGTACATGAATGTTCATAGCAGCTTTGTTTGTAACAGCCAAAAAGTGAGAACAACTCAAATATTCATTAACAGGTGAATGGAAAAACAAACTGTGGAATATCTTCATAATAATACTTGATAACAAAAAGAATGAACTAATGATATATGCAAAAGTATCAAACAAAATTTCAATAATTATATTGAGTGAAGGAAATCAGACCTCTCTCCCCCCAAAAAAGAATGCATGATTCCATTCATATAAAAATTCTACAAAATGGAAACTGAGCAATTGTGACAGAAATCAGTACCATCTGGTGGCAGGTGGGGAGGGACAGAAGAGAGAGCATTCAAGGAGGCAGGAAGAAACTTTTAAGGGTGATGAATGTGTTCACTACCTTGATTGTGGAGATGGTCTCACAGGTGTGTACCTGTCAAGACAAATCTAATTGTACATTTTAAATATGTGAATTAATTGTATGCCAAATAAACCTAAGAAAGCCAAATAACAAAAACCCCCAGTCACGGCTCCCACAGGCTTGGCTGGGGTTGTGGAGCTGGTGTCCTGGGCTCACCACACTAGGCTTCAGGTTCCGCCTCAGTGCCAGGTAAACCTTGCTACAGTCAGGTGGGTAAGAGCATCTAGCC